CTCTTTATTCTCAGTCGAGGGATCAGAATTCACCACTCACTACAAGATAACTAAAGAGAATTACAATTTCCTGCACAGGGTATAAGACAAAGCAAGCAAAACAAAATTTTTCAGCTAATTGACAAAACTAGTCAGTAAAATAAGCCACAATGATCCCATATTGGTTTCATAAGCCTTTGTACAAGGGCCCCAGTGACTGGAGCCTTGGGTAGCCTTAAATCACAGCCCACAGCACCCCATGAAGAAAACACCTCTTTAAGAAGATGTCACTCTCCATTTAGTGCTGCATGTTTTCAAAGCTACTGAGAAACTTCAGATGAGACCCTGGATCTTCCATTTGCATGCAACTGTTGACTTGGAAGACCACACTGATAAGAAATTGCAACAAAACTCAAAGCTATCCACATTAGCAGATGTTAGTCATAATGCAAAAAAATTGGAATGAAATTATGGATAAAGCTACATTTATTAACAATTTTATTTCTAGTAAAACACCATCAGCAAGCAACCCTCAGTTTCCGCTTGACATAAATAAAGCTTTTACTATTTTCAGATTTAGTTTCCAGAAAATTCTTCTGAACTCAACTATATAACATATTAGCCTTTCTAGTGGCATGCAGTGTTAATAAATTCTTAGCTTGAAACGTGTAAATACATCATTTGTTTAAATTATATACCTCAATGGGCAAGCTTACCTTTTGCCTTTGAAGTTGGTGGGACTTTTCATCTTATTACAGATATAGAAATTATAAGGAGCAAGATTTCAAGGATAATAAATGAAATTTCCCACTAAGTATAGACAAAAATAAACAACTCATAGCCACACAAATATATATCATGTCTCAACAATAATTTTAATCTCTGCATACACAAAGTTAATAATATCTGGTTAGTGGTACCTATTTTCTGATCATTTAATTTTCCCTGCTCTCTAACTATGGCAAATAAACTTCACTAACACATGTCAGCTTTCTGTCACTAGGGCCATGGAAAGAATTGCAAATGCTTAGAGTGATAGTGGGATTACTCTATATATAAGCACTTTGGACAATAATTCAAAGTAATGCTATTGCTCATCACTGCATAGGGATCCAGAACCCAGTGCCTGAAATTCTTGGCACCAGGAACTGGGGCTGAATCCTAATGCTAAATGCTTTTGAAAAGTGCATCAAAATTTAATATGGTGAATTTTCAAACTTGGTCAGAATTTCAGCCACATTAACTTCCATTATGATCAAAGCTCCATAACGCTCCGCCCTGTCTGTATATATGCCCACTTTTCAGACAACTCCCTCCTAAACTCTCTTTTGGGCACTTTAGTGTCTCAGTTTTTCCTCCTAATTTTGGTTTTCACGTTGCTCCTCAAATCTGTTTCTTCCCCTGCCTTTAGTGCCCTAAGTTTCTGTCTCCCTCTCTTTTATATCCTACTTTCAGATCTGTATTTTAAAATACTCTCTTCACTGATCTCCTCTCATGACTTTATTGTACCTGACCCATTTTCTAGACAAAGCACTACCGAAGTCAATTTATTACACCACTAATGCTTTATGCACATAGGCTATTCCTTGGATAATCATCTCCAGAGATGATGACAGCCCAGGCAGTCATTGAAAATGTACTTCTCATTGGTGTGCTGGAGCACTGAGTAAAAGCATAAAGTCATTACTGAATCTGGGTCAGCCATTTTGTGAATGTATAAGAGAGAGGATGAAAACTGAATGGATTTCACAGGGTCTATGACCTGTCACTCTGTTAATGAATTATGGAAACAGCCTAGCAGACTGTTTTATGGTGCAGTGCTAGTTACAGACCAGTCCTGAGTGGTGGCACTGCTGTGTAAGGAGAAAAAAAATGGTAGATACCAAGACAAAGGAAGATTCAGAACTGATACTCCGGTCTCCCATTAGTGTCCTCTTCCTTTCAAAGCAAATCTACATTTGTTTTATATTTTTTAATTTGAAATTAAAAAATTAATTTGAAATAATTTTTTATATAACATAGAACATCCCAAACCTTCTTATTCAACTATACACCCACTTCCCAGATGGTACCCTCCCATAGCCTCCCTACCCCCAATAGAGCCCTTATACTCTGATATCCCTGCTACTATCTGCTGTGTTGTCAGCACCCCAGCCATTCCCCACTACTTGTCTGTCC